ATATTTAGAAAAATTTAATATTTTGTTTCCCAAGGTAACTTATGATGGCAGTGTTTGAAATTGATGATGCAATAATGGAAAAATAGATAGACGGTTTAAGTATCAAACCAAATATAACCAAAACATCAACAAAATGCTAAATCAATCCCAATCTTTTAGAGAATATCTTTAATTTTTAAACAATTTATTGTAGGAGTAAGGTATGTAGAAAAAACAGAATTGTATCATCCTTTTCATGGTAACATGGATTCAGTTTAGAATTCAGATAAAATAAGGACATTGTTTAAGGGATCAAGTACAATATATGATATCACTATACTGTTAGAATTGAAGATGAGTTTTGCTTTCTTGAAAATATGAGTAAAATATAACACTTTTTTTTTAACTTTCAAGCATATTACTTTCTGTGCTTTTAAAAAATAAAAATTAAGGTACTTACAATTTAATTCCAAATAGTTAATGCCTCCGAACAAGTAAAACAGATAACTTGAAATTTCTCTGAAACGATGCATATATGTGTCCACTGTAGAATGAATTCAAGTATATACATATATGCATATACATGTGTTTGTGTGTGTTTATTTATATATATAATATATATTTCTGAAAAGATCAAAATTGGAATGTCTTTGTTGAAAAAAGTACAGAATGAGAAAGATACCAGTATTTATGTTTGATATTTTTAGAATATAGAAGACATTTTTGCATTTATGTTTAGTATTTTTTTATGTCCTATTTATATTTTTATTAACAATTCCCTTTAGTCTTCATATATTCCAGAATAATCTTTTATTAGAGACAATATATATACTCAAGAAAAATATATGTGAATATAATTTAACAAAATACTTATTAATCTACATTTATCAGGTTCAGATATAAAAACACAATATCCAAAATATGCCCAGTGTATGTTAGAGTTAACAATGAGGGAAGCAATGTGATATAGTTTCACGTCTTAATGTTTCAACAGTGATTTGGAAACAGATAACAACCTAATTTATTCATCAGTGTCCTAATAGGAAGTTGAATATTGAGCTCTACTTGGGAAATTCTGTGAATTTTCCTGATGTGAAAATTATATAGCAAATGCATTTTAAATAAAAAATATAATTAAGAAGTGTTTTAAAAGGCAATTATATTTTAACATATTAGTAAATATGCCCATTTGAGGATTAAATTTATTCTTTATTGAGATGTCAAATGATATCTTGCATTACTTTAGGCAATTTTTTTCTTAATGCAAGAATTCACTTGTGATGATTAAGAGCAAAGTGCTATGATTTAGCATATTCATAGATTCTTAATCACAAGGAGGCGAGACAGCACTATTTTAAAGTTACCTTTGAAATACAAATCTTATCTATATAAGCAGTAACCAGATTTATTTTATACACTATTTTAATATTTCTTATTAATTCAAAGTTCAAAATAGGTTATCATATTAAGTGTAGTGACTCAGAGAAAGGCAAATATCCTATGATATCATTTATATGCAAAATCTTAAAAAAAAAGATACATATTTGTACACTCACTTATTTCCAGGTGATGCCACAATTTATTTCCTCCATATAGTGTTCGAAGGCTTTCATGATGTGAAAGCCCTACTTTTCTGAAAAGGCCTAATTTTCTGAAAATTAAAATTTCTGATTTATCAACATGAGATATGGCTGCATTTTTTTAGCCTGAAGTCTTCGTGTGCTGCCTCTGCCAGAGTCACATCCTTTTTCTAACAAGCAGCCCGAAACCAATTGTTCAATTTCATTAACATGCCAGTCTTGTGCCAGAGGATATTGCTGCCTTGCTACTGTTTGGATATTTACAGAGCGTACAGTGTACAGGAATTTGGTTTCTGTTTTATTGTAGATGAGAGTTGTCAACATTTTCCCATCTGACACCACAAATACATTTTTTAATGTGGCTTTTAGTATAGCACGTATTGCCTGTAGCACGTTGGCATTCAGCATCAGTAATTCCAAATTAAATTCCCACTGAGATCATCAGGCAAGCAATTAGTGGCAATTGCTTGCATTTATAAAAAAGCCAAATCATGCCCTAAGTTTATGGTTACATTATAATAAAATAATACACATATACACACAGATGCTGTATTGTGGACAGAGTATACTGTGAGTCAGGAATTAATCATTACATCAACATGTATGATTTTCATATTGGGGTATATTTACATGCAAATACATTATTCATAAACCTCTCTCTAAAATATTCTCATGCTAAAGAATTTATATTTCATATATAATAAGCAGTAATAAAAATTTTATAGACAGAGCTAGAACTAGAGATGGATGCAGACGTATCTTAGCTTTTGACTTGGAATATGAGGAGGTTTGGCTTTCCTTACAGTTGCACCCCTAGTTTTTTCTATGTTCTTAGATTTTTTTCACTTAATCTTATCGGCTTTGAAAAAGCTTTTTTTTGTCCTTTCTCCTTAACTGAACCATTGAATTAAAAACTAAATGACAGTTTAATGTCCAGTAAATGTGACATACGGTTCTGAGAACCAAGTAAGCATCTTATGTTATGCAAGTATATGCTTGTGACCAAGACAAACCTTTTTTTTTAATTCAAGTATAATTGACTCACAATTATATAAGTTTTCAGGTTTAGAACATAGTGATTGATATTTTTATACATTAAAAAGTGATCACCAGGATGTCTTGTTATCACCATACAAAGTCGTTACTATATTATTGACTGTATTCTTCAGGCCTTGTTGTATTACATCCTTTGACTTAATTCATTTTATAACTGGAACTTTGTATCTCTTAATCTCTTTTCTCTATTTTGCCCACTACCCCAAACCCCTTCCCTCTGGCAAAGAGCAGTTTGTTATCTTTATCAGTGAGTCGATTTCTGTTTTATATTTATTTGGTTTTGGTTTTTTTTAGATTTCATATCTAAGTGAAATCATATGGTGTTTGTCTTTCTCTGCCTGACTTAATTCACTTAGCATACATAATACTCTCTCGTTTCATCCATGTTGTTGCAAATGGCTGATGGCAGGATTTCATTCTTCTTTATGGCTGAGTCATATTTCATTGTGCATATTCATATACATATGGATAAAGAAAATAAATATGGTGTCATTTTCTTTATCCATTAACCCATAAGATTCAGATTTGGTGGAGAAGCAATCATATGGATCCTTGCAATTCCTATGACTATGCTGAATGAAGGATAGCATAGAATCTGAGGGAGCACACAGTAGGGAACCTTACTGACCATTGAAAGTTGTGGAAAGGCTGTGTTTGGTTACTGTGGAGCCTAGTTTTGGAGGCAGTCAGGTGAAGGTAAGGGCGGGCACGTTGCAAGCTGAGGGAAAACCAGATGCGACTGTCTGTGTAATATTCAGTACCTCTAACTGCCAATAGGTGTCACTATCAGGTCAGCTCCCTTTTGGGGACATTAAGGTATTTTGAGTTTTTGTTATTAGTATGACAATGCACTGAAAGTCCTTTCTATTAACATTTGATAATATTTCTACTTATTTTCTCTGGAAAGATTTCTAAGACAGGTCTGTAGAATGAAGATTATGAAGTTTTTTTTAAAGGCTTTTTATGCTCCTAAGGAATTGTCCCAATTATATTCCTCTCAAAATGTATGATGAAGTCCACATCACTAAAATGTTGCGAGTATTGAATATTGTAATTTTGTTGCTGGGTTGAATAGAAATACAATGGACTCTGGTTAAAATTGCACAGATTCATATTCCAGACCTACAACTTAGTACTAGAATAAGCTTGACAGCTCTTACTCCAGATCCTTCATGCTTATAACAGAATATCTTCCTCACAAGGTTATTAAAAAGATACATAGAATAAAATACATAAGCTTATGGTTGTGTAGGAAGCATCCAATAAACACTTTATACTTCTGTGTGAGATTGGCATTAAAAACATACAGTAAAGCATATATAGGACAAGAATATTTAAATAACCATTTATGCATTTGTACTGGGGATTATAATTCTTATATATCTGATATATAATCTGTTGATGTAACAAAACTGGGAGGAAGTCATTTTAAGTAATTTGAGTAGTAAAAGAAAACATTTAATTTAGACAATTTGAAATGATAATTTATGAGGGATATTGAGTTCTAATATTACTAATGACAATAATCAGTATAAGTATCAGCAACATTTTAGCTACTGCTTAATTTGGAATTATACTTTTGTGTAAATTTTTTTAAATGAATCCTCTCAATTATACAGTCAAGATACTGAGACTTGCCGTTATGATTGATTGGCATTCGGTCTGTGTCCTAGCATGGAACAAACGAAAAACCATGTGTGTGTGTCTTCACAATTAGATTATTTCAATAAAATTATATAATGTGTTTTCTACTTTTTCTTACTTATCACTAAAGAGGTCTGATCCAGATGCCTGAAAATTCACAGAGCATTATAGGAACTCAATATTTAAATTAACTTATTGATTAAATTAAATCATGTCTAGTAATTAAAACTAGAAATGATATTTCAGTGCAATATTTGTTGTGTAGTTGTGGTATTGCTATTTCAATTGAGATTTTATATCTGCCTTAAAATATTTTATAGAAGGAATTATATAACTAAGATAAGATTTAAAAAATGATGCAAGATCACTGATTTTATTAAGTTTTATCTTGAATTATCACTTTATAATGTGGCTTGTTTTCAGAAATATATTCCACTTACATAGAGAGCCATTAATTTACTAGATAGAAATTTTTGTCAGATTATTAAAAGCAAACGACTATTAAACTATTTCATAGTTTAATAATTGACCAACTTTGAAGTTTTTATATTAATCTTAAAATGCTTTAATGAAACAAATAGTATATTTTTATGAGTTCTGATATCACATATTAAATATATGAAATTAGAATTGCTGTGGTTTCTTTTTGTAGTCAAGCAATAATTACTATTGTTTTCACTAATTAAGTGACTATTTACCTTAAAGAAAAGGTCTGTAATGTTATATTATATTGCTTTACAGATGCTCCCAAGTTCGTATCAAACCAAACAATTTATTACTCTTGGGAAGGAAATCCAATCAATATAAGCTGTGATGTGAAATCTAATCCACCAGCATCAGTCCACTGGAGAAGAGAGAAATTAGTTTTGCCAGCTAAAAACACCACTAATTTAAAGACTTATAGTGCAGGGAGAAAAATGATATTAGAGGTAAGTCTTCATATATATATCAACAAATTTTATTATTTTAGCAGTTATCTACTATTTTAGAATGCGTTTAAGTATCTTAATATATAAATGTAATATATAACATATATTTTATCCTGTAGTATATGTGTACCATATTGTGTATATTTCATGAAGAAAAATTTGAAGAGAAATTTTATACATTAGGATCATAGTCCATTAATGTCTCAGTATTTACTTATATAGAAATATGGGTAAATAGCAAATGTCATTATTTTTCATGAATTTATTTTTGGAAAAAAAAACAATTATATCAGGGGAAAATATAGGGAGAAAGAAAAATTTGTCAGTTATTGAAGGCCAAAAGTTCAACTTCAGTGTTGCTACTAGCCATTCGTTCTGTGATTACACCTTCCTGCTCCCTAGAGTGGCATATATAACTGCTGTCTACTGGCTACAAAGTTACTCATTACTAAATAAACCAGATGTACTTGACAGTGATCATGAGTCCTTCCAATTTATGATGCTTTCAGAACAATTGGAATTTTCTTCTGTCTTATTTAGCTAAAAAGATGCTACATTTTCTCTACTAATTCCATATACATGCATTTTAAAAACATATTTTTAGAATAACACTTGATAGCCATATTGCATTAACTTAAAGATATTCTCATTGGTGCCATATTGACTCTTCTACCCAGTAATTAAACTTAGGAAAATATTTGGTTGATCAAAGGATTTAGCTATCATTTCCCCCAAATGTTTGGGTGACTGACTCTTTGGTAATTAAGCCACTTTGTCTAAATCTATTTCAATTTAAATTGCTTTTTTAAATATCTGTATTAGAAGGACTATCAATTGGCAAATTGACAGGGAGATCAATTTTAGAGAGACGTTTGGGCAGATTTAATCTAAACTTTAGGTATTTAACCACAGTGAAAAATCGAGGTTAGACTTGATTTCAGTTTGGGGTAGTTTATTAGAGCACGGGGACTGCCATAACAAAAGACCACCGACTGGGTGGCTTAAAAAGAGAAATCATTTTTTTTCACACATTTCTGGAGGCTAGAAGTCCAATCTCAAGGTACCAGAAGTGTTTCTGGCGAGTCTTCTCTCATTGGTTTGTAGATACTGCCCTCTCACTGTGCACTCTGTGACCTTTCCTCCGTACCTGCAGAGTGAGCTCTGGTGTCTTTTCTTCTAATAAGAAAGTCAGGCCCCACTCTGATGACCACATTTAGCCTTAATTACCTTCCCAAAGATTCTATCTCTAGATACAGTCACATTAGAGATGAGGGTTTCAATAGTTGAATTCTGTGGGAGGACACGATGCAGTCCGTAACAGGCAGGTGTAAGTTCATGTTGAAATGACAGACTAATCCGTCATCCGTGCTTTACTTCACCTTGCCACTTTTCAGTTTCTAGAATAGCTCATAATTCTCCATAATCAATGTCAAGTAACATTTTATGAACTGACACTTGAATATCTTACTCATATAAAGCTCTCATGTCATTTAATCTTCTGCCTAAACAGCGTTCCTCCCCACCCCAAAGTGAAAACTGCCATTGTTGTTATTTTGTACATAGCTAGGTAATCTGTTGGTTAAAGCACTGACCTTGAGCTACACTGTTTTTTGTGGGTGTGTATACTATTTTCAAAAATTAAATTCAAATCCAGAATAAATAATATAGACATGTAACTAACCCAACTTAAAGACGAAACAACGCGAAACAACAACAACAACAACAAAAGCAATACTAATTGTGACTAATTTTGACTACTAGCATCTACAGTTGCCTGGATAGTACCTGGTGATTATTTTTGTCTACTATTTATTATAATACTCATGTAATTGCTAATTTTTAAGAATATATAAAAACTGGAAAAAAATCAAGTTTACAATTAATAACAAATTGGTCAATAATAGATGTCTTGAATTAATTTTTGAAGTTTTCCCTTTTTTGTTTAAATATTTGTATTCATTTTTAACTTGTGAATTTTAAAACATAGCAAAACATTTTTTGAATCCTTTGGGTTCCTGCCATGCCAATAAATGCACTTCTGAGGTTCATTCAAATCTGTTCCTTTGTTTTTCCTGAGCACTCTCCTCAGGGAATAGGATAACTTTTCAATGTATGAGCAAAATTTGATGCCAGAAGTTTCCAACAGGTTGATTGGAATAATATTCTGCTCTGGATCATCTGCATTATTATTCCTTTTGGTCCAAGTAAAGATGCTGTTAAATAATTGGTTTTCTCACCATGGAATACACAGAAAGAGGAAATCAAGTTTTGGAAAGTTTAGGAAAGAGACTAGAGAATTCCTTTATTAGCATTGTACTCGCAGCATATATTTTGGTGTTCAAAACTGTGTCTGTTAATCTAGTATAGTCTATCAAAGTCCAGCATCTTAAGTAAAATGAATTATATTAACCGCATATTAAAATATGAAGAAGTGGTGTCATAAGTAGATGTTCCTAGCACTTTGCGGATAAATATCAATAATAATTTGCATATTTTAACATTTAAGTATTTTTAAAACAAACAATATATATCTCTGTTGTATATTATTATGTATTTTGATTAAATTGTCTATTATTTCACTGTGCTGGGATTGGATGTAAAACCACTACTGGACTTTACTTTCATATGGCTTCTCTGTAACGCACCAGATATTCTGCAGGGCACGTAATTTGGCCTGGTTATGTCGAGATCTGTATTTTATTAATAGTCTGTGCTGCTGGTGTATTTTCTGTATTTGTTAATCATATAGCATGATAAAGGTATTATTTATTTCAGAGAGAATTATTAAACTTTTGTTCTTGAGAGGTGAACTCCCAGGAACAGTGAAGCAAAACAAAACTGAATTGAGACTTTTAAAAATTGTTCCAATGAAGACAGATACATTTAAATTAGTTTATTACTCCCGAGGAGCTGTGCAATAGCCAGGATTCTTTGACATGGCTCTCCATCTTTGCATCGCATTGATTCAGTGCGCATTCCCGAATGGTATACCATACAAATAGCTGTCTCCTATATCTGTATAATAAAGCGTTTTTTTGGTCAAATTCTTTTCTCACTAGTAAGATTATTTTAGAGTTAAAATAGCTTTATATGTTGAAACCTGAATGTAAGAAAATTAATATTTTAATCACTTAGAAGTACTTATATAAGAGCTGTTAAAGCTGCTAATCCTCAAACGCATGATCTCTTCCTAGATGGACAACTGACTAGAGAATGAATGACACAGCTTTTTTGTACTCTTTCAGAATTATCATCATCAGTGGACCTCAAAATTGCACTTCTAGTTAATAGCCTCCCATTACCACAAAATCATCTTCCCCCTTTTGGATAGAGTTGAAATTAACAGCAACTCTTGTTGTAAGCGTATTCTCTCTTAATTATAGTTACTAGGATTGAAAATTATATCTATTACTATCATCAAATCTCTTCTCTGAATTGATACTTCAGAATTTTGGTACGTTAGAATTACAGGGTTGGTCCCACAGTTCAGCAAGAGAATCATGGAAGGTTAACTTAATTATGGATTTCCAATCTATAAAGATTGAGGTCAGCAATTTTCCCCCTAAACTGAAAGAGAATGATAGGAATTGAACAGAAGTAGAGACAAGATACTGTTATTAGGTATCAAGATAATGTCCCTGTCTACAGGGATTGCTACACAGAGGCGAGTCTTACAAAATCTCTTCCTGGAAATATTTTTCTCTTGAGTGTGTCCTCATCCTTTGTTAATATTTTATATTCAATGCAATCATAAAAAGAAGAGAAAGCTGACATATTTTGAGTCTTTCTTGAACTTTAAATCTGCCTAATTTTAGGCTGAAACTCAGAAAACAGATAGGTATCGATGTCTCTGGTACAGGATTCCTGTTTTCAAAGTCAAGTCTGCAGCAATTGCAGAGTATATATTTTTCAAACTGTGTACTAATCATATATAAATATCTAGTGATTTTCTATTTAATAGATACAACAAAATGATGACATTTATCTACTTAATAAATTGATAGATAAACTCTATTTTACTTAATCCTATAGATAGTATAGGTCCATGGTTTACATCTTAAAAGGGGATAATGCTCACTTGAAACAGAAAAAGACTTATAGCAAGAAGTTATGAATAGTTGAATATGTGTAAAGATAGTAGGCATTAAGGAGTCTATTTTAAAGCTTCCGTGATGTTGTTTTAAAATTGTTAAACTTTTCTTATTATAATTATTTTAGATTGCACCTACATCTGACAATGACTTTGGACGATATAATTGCACAGCAACTAACCGTATAGGAACAAGATTTCAAGAATATATTCTTGCTTTGGCTGGTAAGTGTAGCACAATAATTTCTGGGATCTCATAAAATATTTCTGGAAGCAATAGCTTTTACATTTTAATAAGTCTGATCTAGGTTATGATGAGAAAGAAAGAATTGGCGCTTAAAAATTTGGAACAGTTGTATCTGACATATAGTGAGGACTTAAACTGTATTCACTAATCAAGATTCATTTTAAACTTTTATCTAATTCCCTCAGCTTCATCTGTGATATATCTAGGAAAGAGGCAGGAAATATATGTCCTAAGAAATCATCTTAAATTTCATGTAAAGCAAGAATCCTGTCCAAAAATAAATAAATAAATAAAAGACATATTTAGAGAAAGTAAAATTAATCTATTTCAAAATTTTAAATTTGAAAGTACAAAGGCAAATGGAAAAATGTTGGTTATATGACTTTTGCTGAGATATGTTTTATTTTGTGTATATAAAAACATTCTAGCTCTTTACCTAAAGCTTAGCAATATAGAAATAATAATCATGTAAAGTAAAATTCACTTTAAATGGAAATTAGCTATGTTTTTATTTTTGTGTGTGTGTGTGTGTCTATATATATACACACACATATATAAGCATATATAATTATAGAATTTGTCATTATGTTTTACAGGACTGATTATAAATCTGAAAGTATATATGTTTTATACTTTATATAGCTCAGATGATGCAAAAACATGAGTTATTGTCTTTTAAGTCTAGGTAGAGAAATAGCAGACAATTACTGTTATGTTATTTTTTAATAGAATAAATTTTTAATAGAATAATATTTATTTAATAGAATAATTACTATTTAATAGAATAATAATTATTTAATAGAATAAATAAAATTTTAAAAAATTATTTAATAAAATAATATTTAATTGAATAATTATTTAATAGAATAAATAAAAGATCTATTTTTAATAGAATAAATAGCGTCCATGAAAATGTTTTAAAACATTTTCAAAGTCGAGTTCTAATATATAATTGTAATTTTATATTGTTATGTACATACTTACTAAAATACATTATACACTATTAAAATAATGTCATTAATTGTAAAGATCAAAAGGAAAATTTAAACATTTACAAAGCTAATAATCACATCATTA